GTAAACACTAATATACTTCAGTGATTTGGGAGCCTGAATTAGTGTTCTTTTCTGACGCAGAAGACAAAAATCATAATTGAGCGTTTAGGCAGTTATGTTAGAACAGCGATTGTCACATGTACCGCGTAACTCTGGGGAATAGTTATAGGAATTCCGAGCTTATTTTTAAACAGTTCTTTTTAACATTTTCTTAAATCTGTAATTATATTCAGATCCACTGAATAATCCATTATTTTGATCTCCTGCTCAAAATTATTTAAAATAAAATGCTGAGAGGGAAAGGACAAATCTTTTTAAAATATAGGGGAGAGTCGGGTAGCCCCGCTCACTTAAGGAGTATTGNGTTCAACTAGATCCACTGAATAATCCATTATTTTGATCTCCTGCTCAAAATTATTTAAAATAAAATGCTGAGAGTGAAAGGACAAATCTTTTTAAAATATATATATAATTATGAAAAGGACATGCATTAATATAAAAAAAAATTTTAATGTACATTTTTTTCTTTTCGATTTAAAATAACTAAATTCATTAATAAAGAAATAGGTTTCCCTAATTAACATTTTAAACGTTTAAAGCAGCTCTTTTTATGTTTAACAGTATAAAAACAAATCTTTAACTAGACTATTCTCAGCACCAAGACTACGAATATGCAACTGTGGAATATAAAACCTAATTTAAGATTTTATATGATAAAATGAGGAAAAAATTTCATTCCTCTTTTTATTTTATTTTATAACCGTCGTTGAACAGCCGACCCAATTTTATGGGTTTACGACTACTAATGTTCACCTCCGTAGGCTTGTAATTTTGAACTCAATCCAGAAGACAAAGGAACTCTTGGATCGAGTATAGGGAGAAATTTGCCTTCGATAGAGATAAGATTGACTTCTTGATAGAGATAGACTTTTTAATAGAGATAACCCGCATTTGCGCTAGATGGCGTGGAAGACCACGAGAAACTCCCACTGTTAGTCTGATGGCAAGGGGACCCTAACCAATGATCCGTCTACTACTGAGGATATTTCACGTCAGCACTGTGGTCGGTGCATGCCGGATGCGGCATTCGTATCGACTGGGATTCGAACAGGGTTCGCCTCATTGGAAACCGAAGGCTCTATCCCCTATCTCATTTCTCTTTTTAAATATAATTGGTCTAAAAGTAGTCTTTTAATGATTAATAAGTTCACAATCGTCTTCATTTACTTCATTTCTTAACTCGAGGTTTCGCCGGAAGAAAGTTGATTATGTAGGGAGGAAAAAAAACGCCGAGAAAATTCAGTAGCCGTAAAAAATTGGGAAACGATGTGTCAAAGCATCTGATGTAATCGGACTATCATTTCGCAAGCAAATAACAAAAACAATGTTAGTTTTATTTGCTGTAGAAGGTGTAAAGAGAGCAATAAAAAATATACCTCTCACAACAAATTTTAAATTGTATTTTCAATTTTCATACTAATAGGATTCAATTTTACTGCTAGTTCGAAAGGATGACTTGAACAATGGTAATTAATTAGCCCTACGTCCTGCATATGAATTGAGAAATTTCAATCGCCATCACTGCCATATTTATTCGGCAAATAAATTATTAGTTTCGATAATTTTAATCCTGTATTTACTATGATAGTCTTCGATTGTGATTCGCAAGATTATGATAACTTCCTTGTTTATCCTTGCTTATTTGACAGCTTGTTCTTCTCCTTTTCGCATGAAATTGCATTTCTATAATCGGTAACCATGGTAACGTGAAGTGAAGGAAATTATACATGAGAAACAAATGCAGGGTGTGATTATCATAAGGCCAAATAAGCACGGGCTTAAGGCCCCTACATTTCTGAGGAAACAGTCTAATAGAATTAATTATCAGTAACAAAAATTGAAATAAAAATAAGCTCAAATGTACTAATCTATAATAATTTACTTACGTTATTTAATAATTGAAAAGCATTTTGCAAATAAATAACATGTAAATTTGGCTACGATCTATTGGACAGTTCTTAGCCTACAACCCTCGGATTTCAAAATCAGGCACCTGGATATTATCTTAGTACGAATATATATGTTATACTACGGAAGTATACTATACTATGCTTATGCAATGTTCGAAATCTGTTATACAATGTTCCAGTGGCGTACGCAGAATTTTTTCAAGGGGGGTGTTCATAATTTTCTGGAACTACTAAAAGAAATTCGAATCTGTAATAAAGCACTATTATTTCCTTAATTTAGACAGCTAGACAATTTTGACTTTTTATTCAGACAACATGGTTTAGTTAAATTTTGATTTGATTTTTTAAGTTTAAGAACATAATGTAATATTTTCTGAAAAAAGTCCAGTGTCATATGGGTGGAAAGTAACACTTTGAGGGCCACTTTCACATTCATCAGATTTTGTTATGCTAGAAACGTTTTCTTCTACGAAAGTATCACATTTCTGTTCAACAGAAAAACTTACATTGGTACTAGATACTGTCACCTCACTAATTTCAGGTCGTGATTTTTTCTCAAAATAATTAAAAGTTGTTAAATTCTTGCGCTTTGACATCCTAAAGATCCGAGAACAGCAAATATATATTTATATATATTGGCAAAAAAATATCCGCTATGCTACGATCTCAAAGTTTCGAGCTGGAATGAATAACTTCAACGAGCACAGTATCTCCAATTGTATTGTTACTGATTTCTTCACTAGTCGAAATAGTGGCGACGACGGGTTCGGTGATTGAATGAACTTTTTGTTAAGACAAAACAAAACAGATTTAGCGACAAGCTCCGAAAGACAAGTGGCAGAAATAACTCTTAGTCTAACTAACTAACTTCACTGTACCCCGTTCCCACTTTTATATAATTTTTCACCGCATCTCCAAAATTCTCGAATTGTCTCAAAGACGACAGAACGTCTAGGATTCCAGAATCATCGCGTCAAGATCACACGAATGACTGCCAGTCTCGAAAACTATACTAGCAGGACAGAAAGGAACCAGTCCGTAACAGTATCACGTGAATTTGGTTTCAAAAGTACAACCCTATTATAGTAAATGTTCTTTCAGAACTCTGAGAAATACCGTGAGAGAAAAAAAATAGGCATAAGGCTAATAAAAATATATAGTCTTCAATAATAGCTCGCATAATTTCTACTAAAATTTTTTTTCTGCCATTTTGTCTGAGCTCAAGGGGGGTGTTTAAACCCCTAAACCCCCCCCCCCTTGCGTACGCCACTGCAATGTTCGAATGATCTCCTAGAAAATATATGCAAAGTTTCATGTGCGTTAACTCTTTAGTCCAACAGCACTCTCCTTTTAGCAATACCAAAGAAAAGGATTAATTCAAATAATGATAATTGTATGCGTGAATAAACATGTGAAAAACATTAAAAATGGAGTTCCTTACATAAAATAATTAATTTTTTTTAAAAATATAATTATTTTTTTCATAAACGTAATTTTCAAAAAATTATTTTATAACATACATTTATTTACATTGTTGATATAAATGTGAGCATGAATAATTTTATAATAAAAATTTTTTTAAAATAAAATATTCTTAGTTGTTGACACGATGCCTGTTTTCTTTTCTTGCTGCGTCGTGTATGAAACTGTTTGCCCCTTCCCAACCTCCCCTGCACACCACTGCTTTAACAAAAGGCTTGTCTTATAATTACATCCTTTAACATAAAAATAATTTTTTATTTAAACAAATATAGCAGAGGGAATATGGGGAGAGATGTAAGATAGATTTCGTAAAAAATGCTAAAAAAAAGAATAAGCAACAAAAATAACACACGCATTAATTTTTAAAAAAAACATTCAATACTTCAAAAAACTTACGGATTCAAAACGTTACTTTTTACAAAACGATGCACAAACATTGTTATTAAGTTTTACATTTGAAACTAAAAATGGTACTTTTCAAAATATATGATGCCTTGTCATATTATATTTAAAACTTAAAACGTTACTTTTCAATTTATACTTAGTGTAAGCTGTTCTTTAATTTGAAAAGGGTCTATAATCCGTTGCTTGTACTAAGCACACAAACCTATCACCACGATTTTCCAGACTTTAACGTTTATGGAGGAAGTTTTAGTATTTTGCTTCTATGGTGCAGAAACCAGTTATTCTTTAGTCTAGGTAATTTGTTAATTAAATAGTGTAATCCGCTAAATTGCCAAAAAGTGTTTAGTTTCACTAATTACCATATTACCTAAATAATAATATATATTAATTAGACATATTACCGAAATAATTATATAAATTTAGTAGACATATTACTTAAATAATTATATAAATTTATTAGACATATTACTTAAATAATTATATATATTCATTAGACATATTACCTAAATAACTATATATATTTATTAGACATATTACCTATATATATTTATTAGACATATTACCTAAATAATTATAAATATTTATTAGACATATTACCTAAATAATTTGCACATTACCGACTCTGCACTCATTAAAGTGAAAATAAGACTTAACTGAAGCAGCAGCAACGTTTCTGAATACTTAATTTAACAAGCTATTTATTTTTCGATTTCTGAAAATCAAGTTAATTTAATCGAACAATCAATAAATTAGTTGGAAAAAAAATCAATCAGAAATTAAATAACTATGACTCAAAAAATCATAAGGTTTAAAATATTATTAAAATTAAATTAATGAGAATTAAAGAATATTATTACTTGGAAATGAGAGAAACAATTTTTTTTTTACTTATGCCTTTAATGTGCACATTACCATAGTAAAATAAGGAAACCCCTTTATTCCACACTTTAACGAAGCAGATCAATTTATCTGCTGGTAAGCTATGTTAGGTGCACATTAAGGGCTTTAAAGCGTTACCTGTAACAGGTAAAATTATTCTTCAAAAGTACACATTTTATTTATTACTCAATAATAATTTACAATAAATACTTGAGTGATCAAAAAAAGGTAGAAATGCTTTGATGAAAAGCAATAAATAAAAAATAATAAAAAAGAAAACAGTACCTCAAAAATGAACGCTATCGCTTGAGAAATACACGTGCAATCGCTTTAAAGTCAACAATAATCCACTACTACTCACAAATTATGAAAACACATCCGCGCCTGAAGATATGAATTCCACTTATGACATGAAAATCCGCAAACCGGTCACCACTCTAGACAGTGGTCGATGGTTTTCCCTTTTTGTCCTACCTGTTCAGGTAATTAATTCCCCTTTCTTCCCTATCCGCTCACCTGTTTGTAACGAAAAGGAAACCGAATCTAGTTATGAATTTCAAAAAGGTAGTTCCTTATCGTTTTCGCCAGATGGCGCTTAACAATAAGAGCGTTATTCTTTCGTTCTTTTGACAGCTGACACTTCTAACTCAAAGCGTGTTTTGTCACAGAAAATCGATTAAAAACATGAAGAAAAAATAGACTTAGAAAAACTTGTAAGGTTGAAGAAAAAAAAGGAAATCTTAAGTTTATAGATTTTTTTCTTCTGAGATGGGTAAAATCTACGTTAATGATATACTTGTATATCAGTTTTGTTTGAACAAATTAAATTATCAATATACAAATTTTTTAAAAATTTCTCAAAATTATTAGATACAACTGTTTGCTTCAAAACCAAGTTCTTTTAAAAAAAAATCTCTTTTATTTAAAAAATAGACCAGCTCAGAAGTCAATTAAGACAAGATATAACAACATTAATTTAGTTATTAAAAAATTTATTCGTCACTTTTATTTCCAACCCTTTATATTTTATTTTATTACCAGCGTTGAACAGCCGACCCATGTCTGAGTTCACGACGATGATTGTTCAACTCTGTGGCCTTAAATTTTAAACCAAACCCAGATGACAAGGGAACTCCTAGATCAAGTATTAGGACATACTAGCCTTTGTGGAGGATTTTTGTAACTAATCCGCAATTGCGTTTCATGAAGAAGCCACGAAAACATCTCACGGTTAGTCCGACGACTAAAAGATTCTAACCACTACTGATTTTATGTTACGTCAGCACTGTGGTCGGTGCCAGTTGAAAACAGAATTCATATCAACCAGTCACCGCTGTGCTTCGAACTTTGGTTACCTCATTAGAAGACGAACACTCCATCTCCTAAGTTATGGTTGCTTTTATACTTTATTACGTGACCAGCGCTGAGCAGACGACCTAATTCTAACTTTACAACAATCACTGTTCAACTTCATAGTCTTGTAATTTTGAGCCCAACCCAGTAGACAAGAGAACTCTTACATCAAGCATTATGACAAACTTCGTGGAAGACTATTTGAAGTTATATGGAGAGAAAAAACACGAAATCCTCCCACGGTTAGCCCGACAGATAAGATCTATTCCTTTCTAATAAAAATGAAATCTTTATCTTTATTAATGATTTTAATTTCTCTATATTAATCATTATTGGAGCAATGTCACTTTTGCTTACTAGATTAAATACGGCGCATACGTTGGCTAAAATCATTTTATTACATTTATCATACGTATTTTTGTCATACTTACAATTTAATTGTAATTATATAAATAATGTAATAATTCTAATTACATCAGATGGAATATAAATTTGAAATATTTTCGGACCGCTAGGGATTGAAAAAATCGCAAGCGACCCCTATTTTGGGCGTTCTACTTTACTTTTTGTTTCGCGGAACAAAACACATGACTTCGAAACTTAAAACTATGACGTTGTGTAGAAAAATATACAGAGAATACAAAGGAATATAAACCTTTGATGATTAGTTCAAGAATTATTATTTCTTGTAGTAAAAAATACTACAAAAATTTCTCTGTAACTACAATGTTAAAACTTGATGAGGACCTTTTTAATTTGTGCACTAAACACTATTTGTTTTTCTTTCGAAATATTAATTTGTAATTTGTCTGTGATTGATTTGTACTTTTTTTCACTCTTCTTGTTTTAAACAATGACTGTTAATAAATCATAGTAAGAAAATTTATTTTTATCTTTCATCCGTGATTGGTAATTTAAGCTAGAAGGGGGAGAAGTATCTGCTTAAATATGCAAGGAAAAAAAATTGCAAATAGTTTAAATTGCAGATTTTGTACTTTTTCAATTAAGATTCTTCATACAAAATTCAATTTATTCTTCGATGAGTATTTTTTGAACCTTTTTTTTTATAAAATATATAATCTTATTGCCAAAAACATTGTTCTAGAGCTGGCAAAATGTCATTTTTTTTGTTCAAGTTAAATTTATTATTATATCTCTATATTTTATTTTATAACTGTCGTTAAACAGCTGACTCAATTTTTGGGTTTATCGCTACAAATGCTCAACTCCGTAGCCTTTTAATTTTGAACCCAATCTAGAAGACTCCTGGATGGAGAAGAAAACCACCAAAACCTCCCACGGTTAGCCTGACGGCAATGGACACTAACCCATGATCCGTCAACCACTGAGGATATTTTAGTTCTATATCTTTATATGGAACATCATAAACATTTTAAGTAGTCATTCCTACCTTAAACTTCTCCAAAACAATATTTTATAGAAATTTACGAAATCAGAATCAGCACAAAATAAAAAACAGAATTCTGAATAACTCTAGATGTAATGATTAAATTTTCACGTAAACAAGATGTAATATTAATTATCTGAGGAAAAGGCCTACATATGATATTTTATGTTACAGAGAACTAGATTAAAAACCTACTTTCCAAAAATATTTATTTTCTTTTTTTATTTATTTATTTCATAGATTTAGATTTTTAACATTCATAATAAAGCAGGTAGTCTGAAAAACAAAGTAAGAAGAAAAAATCGTTTAATTAGGAGTTTAAAAAAATTTAAAGTTAATTTTCTTTTTGCGTATTACGCAGTAGATTAGAAACCATTTGTGAGAATTCAAAAAAGAATTTACACAATTTAAAAACTCATTTATCTAAGGATAATGCTACACAAAAAGTTACTTAATTTAATAATGCTCGAAAACATTCTGAAATGTATATAAATATTTACATTATTTTAAATGATAGAATCCAAAATTTAAAAGAAATCGAACAAATATTTACAGGATAACAAAATTTAAATTTTTTTTCCTTGAACATTATTTGACACATTCTATTCAAATTTTTGATACTGTTATTTAAACCAGCATAGTTTAAAGTGATTTAAAAATTTTATATCTTATACGTCAAAAGTTTTTCGATCATTTTTAAAATATTTTTCTTCTTTTGAATGAAATTCAGAATAAACGAATCTTAAAATTGTGTACAAAAAAAAAAATTTCGAAATGATATTCCATGGCACTCCTGGCTACACTATTGCAGGGTCAGTAAACACCTGAAAAATTTATTAATAACTGGAATGTAAAAATCGATCTAGATCAATATCTATTTCATGCCCAGTACTACACATCTCGAAATTACACACATAAATTTTTAAATACATTTGCAAAAATTATTGCACTGCAGTGTAGCATTTCAAGTGCGTTTAGGTATGTAGATTCTGTACAAGCTAGTAATTGTGCTGCACACACAAGTACAACAACATCTCTCTATTAAGAAAGTTATACTGCACCACTTAAAAAAGTACTCTATCATTTCAAAAAAATTAATTTTGAACCAGTCTTTTATAAACTTTTATTATGTTATTTGAACTACTTTTCTAGCTTTAGAGGAATTTAGTTTTAGAAAAAATGAAATAAAAAAAATTTTGAATGCCTTCAAAATATTAAAAAAGTTATCTGATTGTTGTAATAACATTTTTCAATGAAAAATAGTAAAATGTGATTTCCAGTAATAAACTCACCAGAAAATTACAAAATAGACAAAATTTTAAATGACAATGTTGGATATTTTACTTCTTGTAAACTTCATATCTGAGGGCAATCAGTTTGTTATTCACGTATCTTTAAAGGAAAAAAATAGAAAATTCTGGAATTTAAAAATATTATTTAAAAAAAATATTTAATAAAAAAGTGAAAAAAGATGAATAAAATCATATTTTCAAAACAATTTAAGTTGCAAAGCGAATTTTAAAAAAAATATTTTTAAAAAACCTACCTATAGAAATGAAGTTAGGTTTGGCTTTACTAGATTCTATCTAAAAATGCATTGGAAACAATACCTAAATGTTCAGCCTAAAAATTATATAGGAAATCCAGCTAAAAAATAATAGCTCTGAGAATTTTTGCATTATTTTACATCTTACTCACTTTGATCAGAGATTTTTTATTTATAATTTTTTTTGTAGAAAATCTTTCAAATGTTTTTTTTTTTTTTTTCAAGCTTTGTGACCAGAAATGAACCCCATAACATAACCTGATAATATGCTTTCTGTAATTTAAAATAAAACAATAAATATTTTTATATATGGCACAGCAATTAAAGTTCTACAGTATTATAGATTAATTTTGTAATTGGATTCAATTGATGGAAGAGAGCATGCAATTATAGAGCTAGGAACTTAGTTCAATACATTTATATAGGTTAATTGTATAATGTTTGGATAGCTACAAAAACTCATTTAAGAGTTATTCATGCAATATAAATTGACATAATAAATTTATCTTATTTAGATTACTACTATAATTCAGTAGTTATAGCCTTATTTAAACAATTTAAGTTATACATAACTAATTTTAAACTTTTTGGATCCAAACAATGTAAATTTTTATGTAATTAAATATATATTTTTTGAGTAACTTTTTGAAATGCAAAAATAATTGAACTATCCAAACAGTTTAAATTTATGCTTAATTAAATTAGTGTTTTGATAATTACTTTAACTCAAAAGAGATATCCAAACAATGTAAATTTAATCACCATCACTAAGATGAGTGATAATAGAAATATCTAAATAATCGTAATTACTAAATACAACTCAGGACTGTTCATAATCATCAGCCTTAATATTTATGGAGTCTGTTATAAAACATAATGAATCATTAATGAGAAAAACAAGGTTAAAAAAAAGTCAAAGCCCGTTTGAGTGGTAGTAAAAGTTCTAACGATCTGAAAGGCTAATAATAAAACACTTTCAGGTTTCATTGGCAATCAAATTTATTTTGATGCTTCTAATCCTGTCTTCCTGAACAGGATTCCAGCAGATTTTAAAAATGTTTTTATTTTTTTCTTAAGAAATTAATTAGCAACCCCTAATGTGTTTTTTCATTTTATTTTTGACCAGGGTTCTAAAAATAAATATTTAGTGATAATGATTTTGGAACATATATACACATAGTACAGAAATAAATTTTATCAATGTTTATATTTTTTTTCTAACACTACATATACAATCATGTCTTCTTACAACCATTAAAATTAAAAACAAGTCCCCTTTCAGCTAAGTCTTTCAGTACCCTTGCAACATTTTTGGAATCATCTGAAATATTAAAAAGAGTTGATTAGAAATTTTATAATGAAACTACACTCTCAATGATAATCTCTAAATATAAGAATATAGTTTATTACTATGTGTAAAAAATATGAATTACTGTTCATATGTTTCTTAATGATAAGATTTTACAATTGGAAAAAATTTCTGAGTACATATTTTGCTATCAGGCTGTAAATTTTTTTAATCTTTTACACATAACTAGCAATTTTCAGTTTTAATATCACATATGTACACTTTAACCTTAGAACATACAAAATATGTTTGTTTTTAATTTTTATAGAAACAATTAATGTAAATCAGTTATTCATATTCATTACTTTGTGTAAAGAATATGAAAAACTGTTCATATGTTTTTTAAGGACAAGTTTTTTACAATTTGAAAAACATTTCTGAGTATATATTTTGTTGCCATGCTTGAGTAAATTTTAATATTTTACATCAAACTAGCAATCTCTGCTTATAACACATGTACACTTTTGCCCTAGAATGCACAAAATATCTTTGTTTTTATTATTAAACAATTAATGTAAAGCACTGGTAACGATAAGATATCGATCAATGGTCTAGTGATTACTGAACTGGACTATGGGAACAGTGGTTGTGAGTTCGAATCCCACCGTAGGAATGGATGTAATTTTCTCTCTGTGTGTTCTATGTTCTTTCTTCTGTGCGATTGTCTGAAAGTAACCTTCCTTATAAACAGGTTTGTAGGTTGTATGACGTGGGCAACACTACTCCACCGCCATGGTTTAGCCACAGGTGCTCACTGGGTAACGATAAGGGAGTAGCAATTCTGGCATTTCTGAGGGAAATGGGAAATATTCATTACTATGTGTAAAGATTATGAATTACTGTTCATTTGTTTTTAAATGATACGTTTTTTACAATTGAAAAAATTTCTGAATACAGTAGAGTCTCGGAAGTTCGAGTCTCAGAAGTCCGAGGTTCCGCTTAATTCGAGGTGCCAAATTTGATCAGAAAAGTGCAAAAATCAGAAAAAAAATCAGAAAAGTGCATGGATGAATCGAGAAATTTTCAAACAATGGTTTCTAGAACATTTTGTTCCAGAAACACGGAAGGCATTGAGAAAAAAAAAATTGCCTTGCAAGGCAATTTTGTTTTTATATAACGCTCCATCTCATCCGGACGATGATGAGCTACGTTGAGGTGAAATCCGTGCTATATTTTTTCCTGCCAATGTTACAAGTTTGATTCAGCCAATGGATCAGGGCGTATTGGAAAATTTAAAGAAAAAATATCGACACCGTTTGTTACAACATTTAGTTCAGTCTGATGATGAAAGTGTTGCGGATGTTTTGAGGAATGTAAGTCTGAGAGATGTTGTCTACTGGATAGCAGATTCTTGGGAAGAAGTTCAACCTACGACAGTAATTAAATCGTGGACTAAGTTTCTACCTGAATTGGTTACGCCTATTGAGAAAATTAATGATGATGATAGTGAAACAATTGTTTTGAAAGATTTGGTGAAGGAATTACCAGGCTGCGAAAACTCTAATGCAGTTGATCTAAATGAATGGCTAAATAGTGACGACAAGCTGGAAATAACAGACTCAAGTATTATAGAAATGATGGAAGATGAGGAAGAATATGAAACAGAAGAAAACAACTCTCCGTTATCAGAAAAAAAAATCTCATAGTGAAGGTTCTGCAGCCTTAGAACTAGCCTTAAAATATGTAGAACAGCAAACTGAAGCCACCCCTGCAGATGTTTTGCTTTTGAAGCGTTGGCTGACTATCGCATCAACAAAGAGAAGTAATATACTGAAGCAACAAAAAATTGACAATTTTTTTAAATTGTAAAGAATCTTTTACGTCATTATACTAAAGAATAAAGGATTTTAAGGTAATATGTTCATTTTATTTAATTTCATTTGTAGTTGTTAAAAATTTTCTACTTTTTCGGAAAATCCGAGTTTTCAGTAATCCGAGGTAGTGTCAGCCCTAATTACCTCGGATTTTCGAGACTCTACTGTATATATTTTGCTGTCATGCTAGAGTAAATTTTAATCTTTTACATCAAACTAGCAACACTTCAACTGAAGTACACTTCAACCTAATAACACACAAAATATCTTTGTTTTTATTTTTTATAGAAATTAATAAAAGCTCCTAAACCTTAAGAAGAATTGAAGCAGTTATGATATGTGATCTACAAATGAACTTTTCATTTAATTTGATGTTTAGTCTTGCCAATTCCTCCAAAAATAACAGAACCATACTTTATTAATTAATATTCATATTTTAATCAGTCCAGAAGAACAGACCGGCACCAATAGCAACGCTAATGTGACGCAACCTATGCAACTCTAATGTGACGTAAATAAAGAACCTACCAAACAGAAGATATGCCTACCACCATCTTTTATTTCATGTTTAAAAAAAATTATGAAATTGCCCCAAACGCTTCTGAACCATAAAATTATTCTAATAAAAAGTTATTCTGCAAATAAAAAATGAAACAAAGACATTTTCTAACCTAATTTCAGTTATAACTAAACCATTTATCTTACCCCATTGCTTTTAAATAATAACATAGCAAAAGTAAAATCATAACACTTATTTTCATTCTTATCAAAATTAAAAAGACAATATTTCAAATGTAAAGAATATAAATGTGCTTAATTACTTAAACTATAACAGAATTTCTAAAAGTGATCTCTAAACACTTTTTAAAATTCTGCAACAATGTTTAAGATCCTTCAAGTTTTCAAAGGAAAAAAAACTCTTTCTACTGAGTGCTGTACTTTTATGGAATGAATAGTACCACAAAAACAAAATTATTTCGACAATTTTTACTAAATTTTAATTAAGATAACTTTTGACGTAATTAAAATTTAAAAAAACATTATGAAAAACACATTTTAAGGCACAAACTTTTGAACCAAAATCATCATTATCACTTAATACAATGGCAAGCCTAACATCATAAAATTAATTTAGTGAATTTTAATTTAGGCAAAATGTAATTAACAAATCAAATCACTACCATAAATAAATCTAAACTAAATATTGTAATAAAGGGGATTCTATCAAAACAATCCTCCACTAACTAAAGTGCATTGATATATTGTAAAATAGACTTGCTCTTAACTATTCTCAACATAAATCCAGTGAAGAACTAACAATTAGATAAATTGTTCGAAATACTAATTGTAAGAAAATATTATGAATATTAGAAATCAAATGGGTCAGCAAATGAAATAAATGGGATTGCAAATGGGCAAGCTATGTTGAAATTTACTAACATCCAACATATTAGATCATATTTGACCAATGAATCAATGTGTACATTCTTTCAATATGTAAAATTTTGTAGATAACTCTGAATTCCAAAGAAGACTTTTCATGTGTAACACAAACTAATAGCAGAAATGAAAAATTAATAGCCAATCATCTTTTGAAGTACACAATTTGAGAAAAATTTCCTTAGTACTTTAAAAAAAAAAATAATAATCAGAAAATGAAAAAAAAGAATTAATCCACGTTAAATAAATATAATAATATTAATTAATATGATATTGTAAACTAAAAAAATCAAGCATTTATTACAATTTTTAAAATTAAACATCGAGTCTAAAGAAACTATCAACTATATATGAACTTATAAACATATATTATTAATTGCCAGTACAAGGCATTGGCTCAGTAAGTTAAAGTGTTATACTGTTATATGGTGGCAACGATCCTTTAAGGGTTAAGGTTGACAGTAGGAAAAGAAGTAAATGCTTAGTCTTTATTTATTGTTCCCAGTCTTCCAATTGTCTAATCTATAAATATCTAATAGTCACTTAAGCTGCAAGCTTTAAGGTTCTTAAATTTGCAACCAAAAGATAGATTTTTTTTTCAGTTTACTTCCTGATTGTTTATTCTCAAATGCACTTAGATCATTCTTCTACTCCAAAAACACAAATATACTGTAATTTGAAACCTTCATCAGCTGAGATCATCAGAATTAAATGACTTAGCAAAATAAGACTCAGTTAAATAAGACTAAGTTAAGAAACCTTATATATATTTTTAAAAAAACGTAAGTTTTCCACTATGTATTATTCACTTTATTCACTATGTTTTACAAATATTACCCAATTTATCTGCCTTATATGAATTAAAAAACTATTTTGTAAATATGATCTGAATCTGTTTGCAAAATCACTTACCAAGACCAGAATGAAGTTCTCCTTGAGGCTCTAATTCACAATATTGCAGCATTTTAGATAAATTATCAGGCCATGTATAAGGTTCAATTTCACAAAAGCTCTGGTACATGTCAAAAAAAAAAAGAAATAAATATTTACTAATTGTACCACTAAAAAGTTTATTTTTAAGTAAATCTTAAACTTCATATTAAATTTTACAATAAAAAAAGTTGTTAAAAGAATATTGTTTTACTTTGAAACAGAAAATATATGGCTTATAAACAAATTAAATAATGAAGTTTAAGGTCACTAAAATTAGAATGTTTTTTACATCTATGAAAAATTAAGAATATTTTGCTGGAATTGAATAGAATAATATTTGAAGGCATTTTCACAGAAATGAATTAAAACATACATAGTTTAAAATATGGATAGAGTTGCCTATACCGATATTATTAAATTATCCCGGATTTTACATTACCCTTTTTTGAAAAAATTCTACTTAATATGTTTTTCCATTAGAACAAAATCATTTTTTCTCTACAAATTTTGCACAAACTTTTTCTGGGTTTTCTTTTTTTAAAAAAGAAATAAAAAGAGATAGACTTGTTTATTATCTGTTCTTAGTTTTTCTGACTTTTTCTTTTCTATATTATTGTCCTTTTGTCTGGGAGAGGAGATTTCTCCCTTGAGTCGAAATCAGAAAAGAGTGGGATTGGTGGTTAAAGGAATTATGGAAACTGAAATTGTACAATTTGTGAGTTGAATTTTTTCCAACAAACTTATACTTTTGAATCTTGGAATTATCTAATAATTTAAAGACCATTACGCTAAACTGCTGGTTAGATTTATTATTATTATTTTTTTTTGACCTGCAAGATGCATCTGAAGCAAAAATAAATGTTCTGAAAACTCATAATCTCTTACATTTGTTTTCTACTATGTTGGTGTTGACTAAAATGCATTACAAATAGGTTTAATGAAGCTTCTTGCGGTTAATTACTTCTCGGTATCCAAAGGGAAAATTAAACCTGTGGAATAAAATTGCACAACTAAAGATCTTTTGAAGTTGATAACTCATATATTGATTGCAAAACACATCTCATTACTTTTCAATTCCTTCAATATTTGATTTAATGCCTGCGTCTGATGATAGGGATGAAAACAATGAAGATGAGCAAAAAATATCATACCCACAACTGATTAAGAGTTTGAAAGCATAAAAACTCTGAAACATTTACAAATGTAAACCATAAAGCAAATTTTCAAACAATAGTAAGTAGTGAGAGGGATATTGTTGAAGTTAAATCTAAAAACAAGGAACAATGCAAGGTTACACATTTTTTCTAGCAGTTCATTTGTAAGTTCATCTTTATAAAATATGTTTATTTTATGTTATCCTGCTTTGTGCATTTCTAAGCGCTAGTTCGACGGAAAACATAAAATCGGGGTTCTACCGTATGCATATATGTGGTGGTGGACAAAATAATGGAAACACTTCAATACTAATACATTTTCTCAAGAAATACTAAAAGAATCATTTTATAACTTTAGAAGTGTTTAGATCATGCAATTTCTCATACTTATCAATGAAGTTTAAAGCTTTTGGAGGATTGAGGGAATGATAATAAATTACAAACGGAAAATAGTGTTATTGAACAGGCTATACCAAAAAATGAAGCAATTATAACTTGTAGCAATATATTTCAGTTATTATATGCAATCATTGTACATAATTTCGTAAGCCTAGCTTAAATATTTATGGAAATATGGACACTTTCATAAAAAACTAAATTTTTTGTTTGACGTTTTTTGCTATAAATTTCAAAATATTGTATAAAATTGAACAGAATTTTTAGAGCAATTTAAGATTAGTTAAAAAATTAGTGCTTTAAAATTTGTGAAAAATTCGTTTAAAACTGCACAAGATGAGTAATTCTTTTACACTTGCGCATGAGCAGAAAAACTGTAAAAATTTAGATAATCGCATTTGGCAACTTAGTAAGAAAAGTCCAATTTGTATATTTTAAAAAGTTTCAAGCAAATTTCTAAGTAGTTTTTGTACTTTTTAAAAGAAACTCAAAATGATAAGGGGTTTTCTACAAATATTATTTTGTATCATAAGACAAATTTGAATAAAAAATGATAATGCCTTACAATAAACGTTTATATACCAAAATAAGATAGTATAAGGAGAGAAAACAGGCAAAAGAAATGATACTTTTATAGGGATGATCCCCAAAAATGCTGGTATCATTTTAAATAATATATATCTCATTTTATAATACAAAAGAAAATTTGAGGAAAATCCCTTATCATTTTGAGTTTCTTTCAAAAGTACAAAAACTTTTTTAATCTTTAAGATATTCAAATCAGACTTTTATTTATTTATTTCCAAATACGATTCTCTACAAAATTAAGAAGAAATTTTTTTTTTAATTTTTCCTGCACATGCGCAGTATTTATGAAATACTTTAATTACTCATATCTTGAGCAGTTTTAAACGAATTTTTCTCAAATTTTAAAGAATTATTTTGTAACTAATTTTAATTTGCTCTAAACATTTAGTTTAATTTTGTTGAATATTTTCAAAGCTATAGCAAAATGGGTTTTACGTTTTGTAAAACAAAAAAATTAGATCTAAACACTACTAAAGTTATAAAATTATTCTTTATGTATTTCTCTAGAAATATGAAAAAATTTATTAGTATAGAAGTGTTACCATTATCTTGTCCACCTCCCCTTGTACATATATATTTAATTCTTTTGTTTTTGTTTTATTTTATTAAATTGTTTTTTTTTTATTTGTAGCTACAATCCTCTTCTCAGGGACACCTGTAATGCAGGAGTTTGCTCCGAGCTTCAACACACTTTTGCATGCCACTCTCTTAATTATACCATGCTTGAAACAAAACAAAAAATAATTAAGCAATTAGTAAAGATTTTGGGCATATTCTAACAGCCAAGAATTATGTACAGAAGTGTTAATTATCTTTAAATTAATACATTTTCCATAAATAAATTAATAAGAAAATAAATTAATACATTTAATCAAATCAAAAGGCTAATTTATTTTTCAATTGTTTCAAATTCATATTGCATTTTCACTTTTTAATATAAATTACATTAACTTATTATTAATTTTTTTTTACTTTGAGCAAAACCTCATACATCAACAAAACAATTTAAAGTGCTCTTTAATTCTTTGGAATTATTAAATGAGTGTTAATATCAAGAATTTTTGCAAATGTCCTTCAATTATTTGGCAAAAATAGTAAATGCTTAGAAAAATTAGTGAATCAACTTATTAGTTAAATCAACTTATATTATTAAATAATGATAAAAAAAAAAAAACTTTTAAATCCTGCCACTCTAATAATCAAACACTGTTCTTACCAAGCAAAGTTTTTACAAACTTTTGCAGTCCTATTATAATTGTTTAATGTATTTTAATCAGTTGTTCAATGATAATTGATCGATTTGAAAAAATACTGTATGTGCACTGTATGAAGACATTTTGACAAATCATGGTACAAGTTCATTGTAGTACTTGAGCATATGCCGAAATCAAAGTGAGATAAAATAAAAAATGGTAAACCGGAAAAAAGTTTCACATGGTAAATATTTCTTCAGAGTCCACAAAATGAACATTCCAAGAGTCAGACATCTTCTGAGGAAGGACATTGGGCAGAAGTACACAAAAATAATGGATATTATAGTATAATACAACTCTATTTCTAAATAAAAGTGTATTTACTAACAAATTGCATAAAACATATCAATACAGCTACAACTAATTTAATAACAGTATGAATATGCTTAACTTTTAAAAACAATCTAAACAGTTTTGACTTCTTAAAAAAAATATTCAGCTACTTTTACAATGACAATTAATACATTTGTCATAAGTTTTAATCCTTTTATATAATCTTCAATATCTTTATTTGAATATTGTTTATCCAAAATGCCTAATTTCTCATATAAAATTAAAATATATTAGCAAAATGAAATGTAAGACCAAAAATCTACACATGTTATGAATGGAAAACATTTAAAAAATATTTCGTCAAAATATTCTATAAAAATATTAAAGCATATAAATCTCACATATGATTTCAAGCAATTAATAAGTTTTTATGCTCAAATAAAAACTCACTCTTTTTATATTAATCCATCGTTGCATGTAATCTGGCACTTCGAATTTCGATATCTGGCCCTGTACTGGTAAGCTGAAACATAAGAGTAATTTTAGATTATTAGTATTTAAAAGAAATTGTATTTTAAATTTAATTGAATAGAATTACTGTGTTAAACTCAGGTTTAATTCAGCAAAATAAATTTTTACAAATTATTTTTAATTGAAATTTCGAAATTGTTTGAAAACTCAATTAAAAATTTACTCCGAGCACTTTCATTAATTCAAGAATTTATCTCTCCTTTAAAAATACTTTTTCTCTGTACTGAATATTTAAGTTAACGTAAAATAACAAGCTGATTGATGAATACATTAGGTCCAAAAATGTAGTGATTATAAGTCCAAAAGTTAAGCATACCTTTACTTTTACGTCTTGCGTAAAGAAGTGCTTAGCTTCTAGACACCAGCTTAATGTGTCTATGTTAGTTTTAAAACACTTGAAAATTTAAGTTAAACCACTTTTTCAGCTAAATATTTTGCCGATTTTCTACTTTTTATTTTCATTAAACTGGTTATTATAGATTTTTTATATAAAAAATAAAAAAGAATGTAATATAAAAAAGTCAATTTCTAATATATTTTTTCCATAACAGTTTTAAGAAATCTGCGACGATCAAATTATTAGATGTCAACTAAATAATTTAACATTTTTTTTTAAAAACCGTTTCAATGACCTAATGTTATGATTATTAATATGATTAATAAATGATAAAAGGTAATAAAAAATTACAGGTAATCAAGATCAGGATCACCACATGTTACGAAAGCAAATTTAACATCTGGCATTAAGAGATTTTCTTTCTTCATCCAATCTAAAAATTTCTGAAAAAATAAATAAAATAATTCAATTTTTTATTAGTGATGGTTTTTAAAAAATCTAATTATAATGCAATGAAAATTAAAATAAAAATTTAGATAGGTAATAAAATTGGAAACAAATTAATATAAATATTAAATCATTTTTAAAAATGTTCATATTATAGATTACAAATATGGATATCAGTGTTTTCATTATAGAAAAAAAATGAGTGAGAATTTCTCACCCTTTTTCAAAAACAGGGTGAGATTTCAAAAAGTTAAGTGAGATTTCTAAAAACTAAAAAAACACAAAAACTAAAAAAACACAAAAAACCCTCTCGAAAAAAAATCATTTCTTTAATTATAATACATTTTTAACGTCTTCTCTTTTTTAAGGCATTAAATATTTTTGGTGCATCATCATAGAAGATTTTGCCTTTACAAGGTATTTGTCCATCTTACATTAGCACATAAATGTGTTCTGAAAGGGGTCCCGTGGTTGTGTTCTGTTGTTCGAAAAGGTTCTGAACAATACTGGTAAATAGGGAAGCTAGATAACGGGGCAGATGTAGAAAATAATGAAAGATACAGGAAGAAAAGTGAAACGGATTTTATTCTATATGGCCTAATTCGAAGCTTTTTCCAAAATGCGAGAAATTCACGAATTTTAAAATTGATTTATAGAATGCGCGAATTTCTCGCGGTAATAATTTTTTAATGCGAGAAAAGAAAAAAATATGCGAGATTCTTGCGTTCTCGCGCTGTAGTAAAAACACTGGATATATATTATAGATAACAATTTATGGTTGAGAGCATTGTTAAGAAACAGTGGAATGGCAAAGTATTTGAATGTCTACAGAAAATTCCTTGAAGACAAGAGAAAATTAATAGTTATATCTCTGGATACACATGCACAAAAACTTTGTAAATGCATAAATAAAATTCTTTAGAAATATTAATTCCAACAAAATATTCTCAAATGTAAGAATTATTTAAATTTTAATCACCTAAAACCTCACTAGTTATTTTGCTTGAAAATCGCATATTATTTTTCATAAAATATTTCAACCTAAAGTAGTAACCTAATAAAAATTTAACTTTTAAATAAAATTAATATTAATACTCTAGTTAAACACTTAAATAGTCATTGACTGGATGCCTCTTTAGACAGGATGACAAGGGACTTAGCACCTTAGGCTTCATGACTTGGGTCATTGCCCCCTTCGCCCTTTCTCAACATGCCATTATAAAGAAATGAAATAAAAAGGCTTTCACATCTTTTTTAAGAGGTGGTCTAGTTTACAAAATACATCTGACATGAAATTTTAATTATAATTTTTCTGTTAATAAAGAAAACTTAGCTTTTCTTAAAAAAAAAATTATTTTGTGAAATCAAATAAAAATTCCAAAAAATAACATAACATAAAATATTTAATTTGTATTGTCTTTGAAAATGGGTTATTGAGTTTAAAAGAGGAAAGCTTACATGTTATTATGCTATAATAAAATTTTAACATTTGAAGAATGGAAGCTTTAAAATTTAATGATTTCAAAACTAATTCAAAATTTTGAAAAAAGCCCTGGTCCTTATTATCTACAGACATAAGAGCTCATTGTTAAAAATATAGAAGAATATTTTGGCATTTTAAACAGAAGGTTCAAAACAACAAGAACTCATGCAAAAACCAGATAAAAGCACTTTTTAAAATAGATAAATTATGCAATTAATCAGAAAACTCTATAAACTAATAAGAGTTTAACTCAAATTGATCTCATTAATTGTAACAACCAAGCTGAATTTTTTTATAAAAAAGAAAGACTCTGGACTCTTAATAAAAAAGAGGAGAACAAATTGCTGATTTTTGAGAGAGGGATACTTAGCAGAATTTTTGGTGCAGTCTATGAGAATAACAAATGGTGCACCCTTTACAATCATGAGTTACATAAAAAGTATAAACAACCAGACATAGTTCATGTTATTAAAGCCAATCGCATTCAATGCTTGGGACACCCTTATAGATCTGAAGATCAAAACCCAGCAAAAAAATTTTAACTTTTTTTAAACCAGAAGGTACAAGAAAAATGGGTTGTCCACTGACTAGGTGGCTGGGCGCAGTTGAGAGGGACCTAAAGATAATAGGAATAACTAACTGGAAGGACATGGCACAGAATAGATCAAGAAATCAAAAACTTTTTGGGATGGCCTTGGCCTGTCATAGGCTGTAGTGCCCAAGAAGAAGAAGGAAAACTTCTGTTGCATTTTAATGTAAATAAAAACAAAAGGTTTTAATACACTTGTAACTTTTTCTTAATTTTAGTAGTTTTAGCTGCAGTCATACTCCAGAACATGACATATTTTAAATGTAAGGCATTTATTCACTGTTTAGTACATTAAATTAAACCACAATTTAATACACCAATTTCTGTAAATGTAAAAACTCATAAAAGTAAATTAAAAAAAATTTGTTTTCAAAATTTTAGAAATAATTTTAAAATGCTAATATTTGCCTAAATTTCAAGAATATTTTGTTCTATAAGTGATCATTCATTGAAATCAACAAACAAAAAAAATTAATAACTTTTTCAGAAGTGAATAGTACATTTCAAAAGTCAGTAAAGTATATAAGTAAATATGCTTATACACAGCTTATATTTTTGAATATGAAAAAGGTAAAGTAATGGCTTCGAATAATTTCGTACTTTTTTCTATTTAAATGAATGCTAGGTGCAACTTATGTCATATAATAAAACTGTTAAAGATAATAATAACAAAATAACAACATCAAGTTCCTAAGTAATTACGGAAAACATTGTGTATCACAAATTTTGAATGAAAATTATTAGTTTGCAAATTCGAAACTATATCAGCATTACAGAAAATAATTTATTTAAGTAGATTTGATACCCTTTTCTAAAATGTGGGGGGGGGGGGAAATTACAAACCAATGAACTAAAAAATTAAAACAAAAAGCTATATTAACATTAAGAACACACTGTAACTCAAATTACAAAAACGTTTGAGTTTAAATTGTACTTTAACTCAATACTTAAAATTATAATACTTTAAGTCAATAATTAAAATATGATTTAAAAACAGTTATTAACTAAACACACATAAACTTCAAAAAAAAAAAAAACTTGCGGTGACTTATACAAACATATGAAAGTAGTTTCAAATAATTTACAATATTTTAAGCAAAGTTAAACAATTTAAAGAGTAAAATTACAATTAAATCATTTAAAAAAAAGTTTTATTTATTATAGTAAATACATTCTTAATTAATACATACTTCAAAAACAACTTTGAATGAAGGTTGGTCATCAATCATACCTTGAATTATGCCTGTTAACTAAAAAGGAAAAAAATATGTGAAAAAATGGGATAAAAATATTAATAAGAAGAAATGGAGAAATCATAGGCATTAAAAAGAAATAATTAAAAATTATTTGGAAATATATTCAAAGTGCTTGGGGTAACATGATAAAGTTACATTTTTTAAATTGCTTACGAGAACATTTTTGATGAAAAGACCATGAATTAAATGTATGTAATATAATGCCTCTATATATTCTGTTACCACCTAGTGTAAACTGTTCCAGTTTGGAACAGCTCCAGTTCCAAGGAACAGTTTGATGTAAAAACTACACTTTTGGAAAAAGTGTGCCTTATCATTATATTGCCCCAATTTTTTAGCTTCCAAGATAAAAACAAAATTAAGATTTTATTTGAACATGAATGTTTTGTTTCTACATGTTTAAAGACACTTTGATAAATAAGAAAATATTTCAAAGACTTTGTAGCAAGGTGAGGCAATAAGTAGCTTTAAAAATATGCCGAACGAGAGATGCTATTCACCAAATTTCACTCTCTTTACATTAAGGATTACTTTTTTTACCTTTGGTGGTTACGGTGGGACATGTCACCAGATATTTGATTCATGTACTGCAATAGGGATGTCGGACACTTTGATATTTAATAATTTCCACTCTTAAAATTTAAAATAAATTTTCTACAGTTATTTTAGTATTGTTGCTTACCTCTCCTGCCAGCTAATGTCATTGGGAACCTATTGAACATAATTTTGCACACACAGATCTACGGCTAAGACAAAGTGGAGGGTTGAAACAGCCAGCAAAGTTAGTCCTGTGTAATTGAACAAACCTTATTTTAATGTTGACATGTGATTCCAATGAAAGATGGCTACTATAGTTTGTCTAAAGTAAGAACTCCCCTAGCCCTTTATCTGGACCCATAACAGTGACTATGGTAACGAGGTATAACTATTTCAAGTAGGGGTGTGGGGTCACTGTTTTGGACAGGTTTTGGCTCAGGTCGGCGAGAGTCTATTGTGTTGTGTTTGCTTTTGTCGGCGAGAGTCTATGGTATTTTTCTTCAGTCTATTGTGTTAGCCCTAGAATGTAGAGAAACTACCTTCCCTGAAATGCGCTATTTTTGTTTCCTTAGTAGTCGACGGCCTCTGAGTTTGTGGCGGGGGGAGTTCTTACCGTAGACAAACTATATCTGTGATTATCTAAGAGTTCGTGGATTCGATCCCCGCCGGCCGAAGACTCCCTGTGTGGTCTTCTAAATGGCGACTGATGCACGTTAAATCTGTTGAGTCCCGAAGTCGTCCATGTTCCCATAACAAATCAATACCTCTGGAAGTATTGATCCAGAAGTTTCCTTGTCATCTAGATTGGTTCAACATTACATGGCTATGGAGTTGAACATTAGTAGTCATAAACCCAAAATTGGGTCGGCTGTTCAAAGACGGATATAAAAATATCACTAATATTGTCAGAATGACTAACATGCCCCATAGTTTCTTGCTGAAAAATTATATAACATCTTTTGATTCCTTCTAAATTATAAGTTTAGAAACAAAAAATTTACTTTGGCAACAAATATTTAAGTAAATTATAGGGTGACCCGGGGTAATTCACGATCACTCTGTTTCTGGGGTAAATAATGATCACCTAGTGTGGGCCTACTGTTGAGATTAAAAAAATGAGATAATATTGAATAATCATTTAAAAAAAATACTATGATTACGCAAATATTTTTACACTCTACTTTTGTCTCAAGACTTTTACAGGTACAAAATAGTAAAAATGGTGGAAAAATACAGTTTGAATTTTATTCAAATTGGTATAGTAATTGTTTTTTAGTCCTATTTTATTAAAATACAAATGAGCAAATCATAATGAATTGCAAAAATTTAAACCATTAATGTTATTTTCTCATAATTTATGCTTTACGATTTTTATTTCTTACTTTTCATTTAAATTAGTTACATAGTTAGTGCCTAAATAAGCCATTTTGGTACACAAATTTCCTTTTGCAACAAATATTATCACAAAAATCAGGGTGAAAAACATTTCATCTGATATTCGTAGTTAGACTGCATTATCTAAAACAAGACATTTAACAAGAAATTAAACAATCTGAGAAAAATAAACTGCAATATAAAAATTATACACATTTTCCATAGATTGACTTATGCTTGCTGTAATATCAACTCATGCAGAAAAATATTTATTCTATTTTAATGAGGGAGCAGGTATTACAACAGTCACAAAAAATAAAAAAAGTATGCATTTTGTTCTTTAGTTAACCCAAAGTGTGATCAAAAAATATATTTTATTTGTAATTAATGTTAAATATTTTCAAGAAAATTCAAATTTAAAAAATAATTCTAAATTTTTTTTTTAACAAGATGAGTACTTTCCTTCAAAATACAAGATACACAAAATATAGATTAAAAATTTAATAAATTAATTTCTTACTGCAACAAAGCTATCACAAAATCTTCAAATTACTTCAGTGTCCTGATCATAATTCATTTCAGCATCTAATTCTTCATCATCTTCTTCATTACTCTCACTTTCATCATCATCATTATCATCATCCTCTTCTTCATCATCATCTTCCTCAAAATGCTAAATTAAAAAGGTACAAAAAATTATTTGCAATAAATAATCTGTCAGATATTGTCAACTATTTTCTAAGCATATATTTTTTNTTCTATCTTGAATAGTTTTTTCACAAAATAGATGTTTGCATTTTTTGATCAGGAATTACCCCAGGTCACCCTACAGCTTTAATGATATAAATTATATAAAAATACATTACTTCTACAACATACACAAATTATACAACTGAACTAATAAGTAAAATTCAAATACAATGTAACATACATCTCATATATAACTTAATATACAAATAAATTATACAACTTACTTCAGTACAGAAAGATGATAGCTCAGGATTTATTTCTGGTTTGACATAGGAATGAAAAGTTGATTCTATGTTGAAAGTATTTCCATTTACTTTTAAAACTGGAAATTCAATAATTTCCTGAAAAGGATTTGAACAACTCAATCATCACTTTTTTTTCAGTACAAAAAATATTTTAAAGATTATAGGAAGAAAAGCATGATTTAAACTTCAATGTTTTATTAACTTGGCAAAAATTCTAAAACTTAGATAAATTTACATAACCCTTTTGGAAGGTAAAAGAGTTGTTAATAAATCTGTTAACAACCAATTAAAATGAAAGTTGCAGTATTAGTTACTGCAACTTTTATTTTAATACATAGTACTTTTTTGTACAACTTTAACATACATTTAAAAATAAAATCCATGGCTAAAATATCTAAGCTAGATTTAGATACATAACCCATTTGGTTGATGACAGAGATATCACTGTAAACAATCTGTCCAAACTCTAAGTATTAATGAGTTTAAGCAGGGGTCTGTTTAGAAGAAACTTGGGTCCGTTAACGGACGCTTCATAAAAACGATACAAAATATTCACAAAATATTTTAACTTAAAAACGGATCCTTCACAAAATAATTTGGTCAGCGTGCCGGTGGGTGACCACTTGGATCAGTCTGCGCAGGAACCGAGGGTGTGCTGTATTGGTCCTCGTTAAACTATGCTACCGTAAAGTGCTCGACTTCGCGTGCAGGTCGTTGGGCTACCGAAGCGGTGGTACCATCCCCTCTGCAGGGGATCAAAATTGTGATGGCATGTCTTCGGATCATCCTCAGAGATGTTTCCCAGACCGTCACCAATAGCTCATTGTGCAGCTCTAGTGCGACGTAAATGAACAACAACAACACAAAATAATTTATCTCTTAATCGGACCCTTGACAAATTTGTTTATCTTGATTATTGTTTTGTTAATCGAATAAACCCTTCCCAGGAAGGGGGGGAAGACAAACGTACACAAACTAAGTTTTGTCTTCGTCAGACACTTCTTCCTTTATTCGTCCGAAATGAATATTCTGCATTCAGCAGTATAGGCAAAATACCAAATATTTGTATGTTGCATCTCTAATTTAGTAGCAGCAATTGCTGTTTATTTATCAAAATTTAATTTTTTTTATTATAATTTTACAGTGTTGAGCATAATCTTGTATGTCTTTACAATTTAAAAACTCCTTGAAAAAACCTTTTGCAATAACAGGACCACCCTATTTGCACAAATTCACAAAAGCAGGACCCTGGTTGAAAGAATGTGACTTAATGTTTCTTTTATATTCACAAATTATGAGTAATTTTTTTTACAATTTTACAAAAATGGATCTTTCATAAAATGTCTGGACAGACCCCTGGTTTAAGTAAATAAGACAGAAATAAACTTTTTAATCTTTTGAGCATTAGTCTTGGTTTTTTCCGAAAATTCTGGAGCAAACTATCCATCTTCTAAAAATCAGTTTTCCCAGGTATATCAATGGGAAAATAGTATAGGAAGGAAATTTAAGTAAATTTTTAATGTTTAATCTTCTCAGCATGTCATCACATAGAAATTCTACAGAAACAGAAAAAGTTATACACAAGTTATACAAAATACATATTTTTTTTTTTTTAATCTTCTCTGTTTAACATTTTTAATTTGAGAATAAAGATCATAATTTTAAAAAAATTAGTTAACAGAACATTTATAAAAGTTTAGTTAACCAAGACGATCTTCCTAGTTTGTCATTCGATAACAAGAGAATTTAAAACGGGAGATTTCTGCATCGTGATTTGTGGCGGAATAATCGCCAAGTCTAGGTAACTTCCGGGCAGTGGCCAGGGAGAAACTGAAGAAAAAAACATTACAGAAAGAGACCAACTCGAAAGGTATAACTAGCAACCACCCCCAGACAAACATCTACATGTTTTTTTTTAAAAAATTGCAAGTTCAAAATCTATTTGGCATCTTGGCGATTATAGTTGGCGAGACAGATCATGATACGAAAATATCCCATTTAAAACTTTGCTTGGATATCTAACCTAAAGCTTGATAAAAGATTTCATAGTTAAGGTGATAAAAAATTATTGATAGAACAGGTAAATGAATCTACCTTTTTTAGATTAGATATTTAGAAACAAAAATAATTAAAAGACAAATTCATTGACATATTATACTAACGGGCGGTTCCACATTTACAGGAGAGTCACATGTTGCTTCGAAATCTAAAACTAGGAAAAAATCAAATTTTTGCTCTGGCATACTCTTAACTTTGGGTGCCAGTTTCAAATGTTGATCAATAAACAAAGGGAAAGTCCTTTTCGGTTTGTGAATTTTAAATTCTTGATTTTCATTTCTTAGAAATGGTTTTTTGAATCGAGCTTTGGAGCGATAATTTATGTTACGATAAATTATATAGCTGCAATTTGATCTTGCACATAAACCTAATCGCGAAAACATATTTTTTTAAAATTTAAACTTTGTCAATGCAGCCAGATTCTGAAAATAAAAAAATCAGTGTGTTGCTATTTCACACGTTTGATTTAACGCTTAAATTTATTAAAAAAGAACTTGAACACTTTCATTTCTTCTTCCAAAAAATTTTCGAAATGAAAACGAACTAAAAGTGTTGTTTACTTATTTAATAACTTTAAACGCCTTTAACTACCTATTTCTGCTAAGCTAAAGGTGGATTTTCATAATGCACTAATATTTAAATCTCAATTAAATGATGTAAACAACAACTGAAAAATGAGAATCGATGCATTCAATCCATGTCAACAACTGGTTTCAAAAGAATGCTTACTCCTCAAAACCATTGTTTTTCGAACATATGTAGCTTCTTATGTGTGTCCATCTTTAACATGGTGTCACATTTTGTATTCGAGTTTTAAGAAAACATTTTCACAGCTTGTAATCTATTTTTTTTACTCTTTCTGCATGAGGTTTTTTGCAAGTTAGTAGTTTTCTCTTTCTGCATGAGGTTAAATTTCCTCGATCAGGTTTTCAGTTAGATGCAAAAAAAAATGTAATTCGCAGGCAATGAAAATGCTCCTTACGTTTTCTCAGAATAGCTGTAGAAAATCAGTATCGTGGCCATTTTTATGTTACAAGAGACGTTTAACAAAAAATTTTCTACACTTTTAAAATAAGAGTAATTTTTACAAATATCCATCGTTAGAGCAATGTTTTATACTTGCCATATGGAGATGATCAAGCCAAGAGGTAGAACTATGCCATCGAGTAGGATAAATCGAGCGTCGTTTGTCTCTTTTAAACGATTCACATTCATATCCCAACAGAAACATATTCCTATTGTTTGCTATCTATAACTTGATCATAGATTTCCAGTGAACAGATAATTAAAATTAAAATTCTTGTATAGAAAATTTTTCAACAATCAAAAATAAAGTTAAATTAAAAATAAAAACCCTTTGTCTTAACACGAGCAAGTGTAAACCATCCGTATTCCGTTTTATGTCAACAGCATTATTTTGCGAAACTGCAGCCGGTCCATATCCATGAAATCATTAACAAAATTCCGTACCATGTCGTCAGCAATATTAATGAAAATTATGAAAATCAGCTGACCAAAAACAAAATGAGGAAAAGCAAGCAAAAAAAAAAAAAAAAAACATATGGTGATCAAAACAGCTTTTGAAAAAATCTCTCTCGCAGTAAAATGACTGCGTTTTTCAGCTTCCCTACTCCTACTTCCTATTACCCTATTTCTTTCCCTTTTATTCCAGTTTAGAAAGCAGACCCTGTCCCCTCATTTTTGAACCTGGTTTAATTAGAGAGTTCAAACGTTTTGATGATGTTCTAGCAGGTCATTAAATTATCACTCTCGTCTTCCTCAATAGTGAGTCGTAAAATTTTGATATACTTTTCCTTTTTTTTTTTAACTGAAATGTAAATTTGTGACTCCATGTCGTAATTTTAACTTGATTTTTTTTGACAAAGTTTCTTTAAATGCATGTTAAGGGCAGTGATTACAGAACCCTTGATTAGAATTAATGCTTGTGCCTCAATGAATGCATAACTTTGGAGTCTGTGAGGCGTTAATGATTTAAAAAAAATACATTATTGTCTCCAAATACAAAGGAAAGAAAACGTTGAAATAAAAGATTTTACCATTTTAACATTTAATTCTTGCTCTGACATCGAAAACTTGAGCAGTCATAAAAAATGTCGATTAATGAAGTAAGTGTTATTCGGTTCTTCCTTAATAACCACATCATAATCAAAAATAATATTTTTTAATCATTTTTCATAAAAAAGAAATCAAAAAAGTATTTTAGCTACACGCTATATGTATTAATATCAAACACAAATTTGTAAATGCTTCTTAGAGGCATTAATTTTATAATTATGTCTTTCTCCTTTAAACAATAGATGAAAAGTAACCTATGGAAGGTAAGTATCATACCTTTTTTTTCTGAAACGAAGAATCCTATCTTATCTTATGACAATTTTTGACTTTCAAAACCTATTTTTTACGACTTCTCACAATTTTAAATCCATAATTAACAATTAACCTATTATTGATTTAAACTTGAAATACAGACAAAAAATGTGGTGCATTTCTTTTCCTTTGATTTTAAACACGAAAATGTTAAATACACGATTCATTGTGATTTTTTTTCTTTTTGATATTATAAACAATGAGTAAATTTCTACTTAACTCTAAACGGGAGGTTTTTCTAATTGCTCTACTCTTTGTGATTACACTACTATAACGTAGACCAGTGTTTCCCAAAGTGTGGTATGCGTACACCCAGCCCAGGGGTCCGGGTACGCGTTTTTATTCGAAATATCTTGCAATAAACGAAAGTTTCAAAAAAAATTTTAGAAAACAAAGCCAGCCATGAAAATTTACGATTACGTATTTTTCTATTGGGGATCGAAATGGGCTGCAGGTGGCGTAGAGCAGAACTCTTTTCCTATGGCAACACTTCACATGCTCTCCCCATTAGCGTGTGGAAAGTCATAGAGGAAGGAAGTACGTTAGTTTCTCTCTTGATTTTCATATAGATTAAAATCATTTAACTTGAAAAACTATATGGAACTGAAAACTACATTAAACATAGTTCTAAAGAAAAGTATCACGGAAATTTTAGAAAATATTTTTATTAAGTAAAAAGGAAAGATATTAAAGAAAAGGGAAAATATCGTAGTACATTCCTATATAACTGAAAAGAGGAGGAGAGGGAAGGGAGAAGGGCTAAAGGCATGAAACCGGTCTCTCCCCAGATGGAGTATTCGAGTGTTGCGATCGCGAATTGGCTATTTCTTGAAGAGTTAATAGTTAATAATTAGGGGTGTCAACAGCCAGCTGTGATTTTTAACTTTTTTTGCAAATTTTTTTATAGTGAAAGATACATTCATTTTTTTATTAGTGGTACACAGCGTTACGAAAAATTTAGAAAGGATACACTAAAGTTATAAGTTTGGGAAACACTGACGTAGACTGCCGTGAAAATTCCATTGTTGAGGGAAATTAAACGGGAAAAACGGGATTTATTTTACCCTTTCCGAAGAACCGATATTCAACTAGAACAAAAGAAAAAAAACCCGATCAATAAAATACCAGAAAAGATTCTAACAGTCTCGTAGTCTGAAACATATTAATTCTCTATTGACTCAGACACTCAAGGAGAAACTTAATCCATGTGACACCATGAACATATGTTATAACTCTATTAAAAAATTATTTACTCCATTGGTTTATCGATAAGGGATATTTTATTGAAGAATTACGTAAAGCATCACAACAATATTTTTAAGTTCACTTGAGCACTTTTTATTTACACACCAGATCGATTTCTTGTTTGTGTGATCTTAGTAGCCATTGTGTGTTTAAGCAACGAACCATTTAAGTAAGTAAAATGAAAAAAAACATTGTTTATTATAAAAGCATTTCGATAATCATTTAGCTTATTCTAAAATTATAATAAAGAAAAAATATATTTATTTCTAAAATACAATACAATGAATATAAATCAAAAGTTAAAATTAAAAACATAATATGCATTTTAAAATGTACTGAAAAGTGTAATTTAAAAATCAATCAGCAATGTAAAGAATAAAACTTTTTTTTCCAACAAGAACACATGACGTTTTAATTAATTTACTTTTAATTAATTTATTTTTAATTAATAATTTTTATTTAACTTTTAATTATTTAGCTTTTAATTAATTTATTTTTCAATAATTTGTTCTTCATTAAGCGTAATTAGGTATTGGTAGTGCAACTGATGCTACAATTCGAATTTAAAGTCACTATTCTTTCGAAGTAAACTGAGATGGGCACAGTAGGCCTTTGGTTGTGGCNCTGTGTACCACTAATAAAAAATGAATGAATTTTTTACTATAAAAAAATTGCACAAAAGTTAAAAATCACAACTGGCTGTTGACACCACTAATTATAACTGTTAACTCTGCAGAAAATAACCAATAGAGAAATACGTAATCATAAATTTTCATGGCTAGCTTTGTTTTTAAATAAAAAATTTTGAAATTTTCCTTCGTTGCAAGATATTTCGTATAAGAACGCTTAAACCCGCTAAACTGTTCCCGTACTCCCGGGGGTACGCGTATCACACTTTGGGAAACACTGCATTACAATAAGGTAGACTCTCGTGAAAGTTTCGTCGTTAAGGGAAATTTAGCGAGAGAAAAAAACGAACTACAATTAATATTTATAATTTATTTTACCCTTTCCGAAGAACCGATATTCAACTAGAACAAAAGAAAAAAAAATCGATCAATAAAATACCAGAAAAGATTCTAACAGTCTTGTAGTCTGAAACATATTAATTCTCTATTGACTCAGACACTCAAGGAGAAACTTAATCCATGTGACACCATGAACATATGTTATAACTCTATTAAAAAATTATTTACTCCATTGGTTTATCGATAAGGGATATTTTATTGAAGAATTACGTAAAGCATCACAACAATATTTTTAAGTTCACTTGAGCACTTTTTATTTACACACCAGATCGATTTCTTGTTTGTGTGATCTTAGTAGCCATTGTGTGTTTAAGCAACGAACCATTTAAGTAAGTAAAATGAAAAAAAACATTGTTTATTATAAAAGCATTTCGATAATCATTTAGCTTATTCTAAAATTATAATAAAGAAAAAATATATTTATTTCTAAAATACAATACAATGAATATAAATCAAAAGTTAAAATTAAAAACATAATATGCATTTTAAAATGTACTGAAAAGTGTAATTTAAAAATCAATCAGCAATGTAAAGAATAAAACTTTTTTTTCCAACAAGAACACATGACGTTTTAATTAATTTACTTTTAATTAATTTATTTTTAATTAATAATTTTTATTTAACTTTTAATTATTTAGCTTTTAATTAATTTATTTTTCAATAATTTGTTCTTCATTAAGCGTAATTAGGTATTGGTAGTGCAACTGATGCTACAATTCGAATTTAAAGTCACTATTCTTTCGAAGTAAACTGAGATGGGCACAGTAGGCCTTTGGTTGTGGCACCACTGCTGAGTATATTTATTTATTTATTTTTTAGAGTATTCTTTCGAAATTTTAACAATTAATTAAATCTTTTTTTTTTTTTTTGCTGGTAAATAAATTGTTGCTTTTAATGCATTAAAANTGGTAAATAAATTTTTGCTTTTAATGCATTAAAAAAAAAATTTTTTTTTTTGATAAAAAAATGCTTTAAATTATTCAGAATATTCCCATAAGTATTGATACGAGCTTAACGGTTGGTACGGCACATCATATGCATCGAAAATTGCACCGATGGATTGCTAGAAGGGCTTTCCTGTTATGAACATTCTGTTCTTGCTCTTTTAAATTGATATAGTCAGCAGAAAAAACTAAGGGTGAGGGAGAGATCAACACCCTGAATAACATTTGTTCTAATAATCGGAGTCTGTTTTTAGAAAATTGTTCTTTTTCTAATTTTAGGTTATACATTCAGACATTTTTAAATTGAAAATTATTTTATAACTGTAATAGTTATATTCATCAAAGAGTTTTAACATACTGTTTGCCCAAATAATTATATACAAAATTTACTTATAGTATTTCGTCAAAAGGCGACACGATTGCTAATGCTAATATTTCCTTATTATTAACAATTATTTATTTAAAATTTTTCCACTATTTTGTTGAAAACGGCATCAGTTATATAAAAAATCGTTTGAAAGTTGTGACAAGTTATTATTTTTACAATCTATTGAATTTTTAAAGATTCTTTGCCCCTATCTTATGTAAAACGTATTTCAATAAAGCATTAAGTATTTTAATTTATTGTGATACTTAATATTATACTAGTTTCAACTTCTACTTCTTATATTATTAGATACTAATTTCAAGTAATTCTGATCAAATGTTTTTCTTTCTTTCTTTTTTTTTTTTAGCCTTTTGTTTGGAAATCAATATTTACTTTTATCTATTAATTTGTCCCTATTACACATATAAACTATTTACGATTTTTTAAAAGGAATTATTTTACTAAATGCTAAAATAATCCTTAACCCCTTCCTTCTCGCTCCCGTGAAAATGACGGGGTGAGATTTCGCCCGCTATTTCTCGCTCCCGTGGCGTGGTATTGACGGGCTGAGGAGTGTCCAGTAATAACGCACCAATAAGAATATAACTAATTCATTTCTTTTGCCCGGAAAACATTTTATTTCTCATTTTACACACCTGATGGCAGTACCAGGATATTTTTAAGGTAATTGTAGATAGTGCCAAAAAAATAATATAGATAGGTCATATTGTAGATAGGTCATAAAAGTGCCAAAAAAATAGGCACTTTTATGACCGTTTTCTTGAAAATTAACCGATCGTTAAGGGGATAACTGACTACAATAATTTAGCATAACTTGTTCATATAAAATACCGCAAATACAAATATTTATATAAGTCATATTTCATGTCACATTAAAGTTAAATTTTAGAGTAAATATATGTCACTCCACGATTTTTATATCTTATTGATTATTCAGTCACTCAATAGAGAAATATAATCAATCAAGATAATCAATTATATAATTGCATAAAACTTGATACGTGTATGAGTTTAAAATGTTGAATCATTTATAAATACTGCCTTAGTATTTTCATTCAAAATGTATGAGTGTTTGACTATATTCAAATATAAAGAGCCAAAAACTATAAGAATGCGCGAATTGGAGACAGCTAAAATTTTTTAAAAAAAATTGACTCCAGCGAAAGTGAAAAACGAGATTAAAGATAAGAGAATAACAAAACGAGAATGGATTTTTTTTTTAATGTTTTCTTATGAAATATGAAAAGATTGAGTAAGTACAAAAGTATTGTGAAAACTGTACCAATTGCTACTCTTGTTTTATTAAAAATAATGTATATCTAATTTTTGTTAATTTTTAATAATAATTTTTATTAAGTAAATAATCCCAAGTAACTGAAGCGGCAAGAAATTTTCCTTGACTCTCAATCGCTTCAAAAATACACCATTTGGAGACAAAAGTCGGCACGTTTCAAGCTCTCAAAAACAGGTGCCCATTTTCAAGACTTGCCAGACATGAATAAAAAGAAAAAAAAGTGATTTGAATTATAAAACATTATGTTTCCAATTAAAAACTAGAAAAACCACAGTAGCCAAGAGGGAGAAAAAAAGATAAGAGACAGAACCCACAAAACCACAATGGCAGAGAAAGACAAATCAGGGTAAAATACATTTCCAAGCCCTAAGGAGGGGTCGTGAGGAACTTATATCATTGACAAGGGCATCATCATTCATATGAATAAAACAATCCTGTCCTGAAGTCTTATTTTATTCATGCGATTGCTTATTCCCTCGTTAACGACATTAGTTCCTCACAACAATTCCATACAGCGTGGAAGACTACTTTTTCCTGATTTGCTTCTCTCGTCCACTGCGGTTTATTTTGCTCTGTTTTTCATGTTCATTTTTGTCTCTTAGCCACTTTTTTTTTCTAGTTTTGTATCTCACCTTTACTTTTTCATTTTTCATTGGCAACGTTACGTTTTTATTTCAAATCATTTCTGTTTCTTTTCATTCACGTGAGGCAAGTCTTGAAAGCGGGCGCCTATTTTTGAGCGCTTGAAACATCTCGACTGTTCTTTCCAACTTGTATATTTTTGAAGCAAATGAAATTTTTAATCAAATAATATTTTTGAGTACTTTTGAAATTAAAATTTCGGAACCTTACATTTTGTAATAAGATAATTGGAGCTATTGAAATTAAATATTGAATGTTGTGAAATATAAGCGTGATAGAATACATCTTATCTTCTTAGTATTTCTGCAATCTTCACAGCTTCTTTAGGACCTTACGAACTCTGTTAAAAATGAGACTTATGAATCTGATATTTGTTTATAGTGATGACGAGAATCTCAAAATAAGTTAGTAAATAAAGGAATCAAATAATTAGTTGAGATTTTTGGTAAATAAATATAGGAGATTACAATTGAAGAACATATTGAGTGTCATTTTATTTCATATTTCGTTTATCAGTTTCAGGATGTTTTAGATCAGGGTGCTATTTGCAAATCATGCAGGGTGCTATTTACAAAGAAAACCACGTAACTTGAATATTTTTTAGCATTAAGCATTTTTTTTTAAATAATGAATCTTACAATATTATTAAATATACATATTTCAATGTTTTTTAAATGTTACTAAACTTTTACTAAGTCATTCAATTGTTAAAAATTATCTGAAGCCTTGTGAATGTGAATTATAATTATAATCTATTCCAGACTCACTATATTTTTTGCTAAAAAAAATATTTTATTTTCTTTTTCCCTCTTCTCTGTTTTTCTTCTCTTAACTAGAAGACTCAATCTCAGGCTTAAAATAGATTAACCATAT